ATTAGCAAGCATAAACAAAGGCAAGGCTGGCCGTCCACATCATTTGACTCGACTATCGCAATTCAGACCTCAACCCTACTGCCAACAGCATTACAGTCTGCCAGGTTCCTACCACAAACTCGTCACGCGTCGCGAAAATAAATTCAGTTGCCGAAAATGGGCGTTTTGTAGGATAATTTCTGCTACGTTTATGCCCACAAGTAATGCATCAATATTATGTTTGTGGTAGGAAAACCTTAAAATTGGGTACCGCACAGATTCCTTCACAGGCAAGTGCATTCACATTGCCACAAATGTTGCCATCCTCCTCTCTTGCTGACCCTTCACAACAACACTTTTAGGCATTTTGTTCACCTGCTCGACCTTAGTGTTGACTGGCGCAAGTGTTGGTTGAGGGCGCCGATTTGTGCGTGTTCCTCACTCAGGTCCGATTGCATTTTGGAAGTGTGTTTTGCCCGCTCTGGTTGGCAAGTTGGAGGTGTCATTTGATTACTTGTTTGTGTGCGTGCCTTCTCTATTGCCTTGCTGCTAGAGGAGAGGCAGACGATGATGGAGATCGGTGGCAATGGCACTACTTCTCAAATGCACTGTCCATTTGCCTTTGCTTGTGACTGACTGGTGTTCTTCTCACCAATGACTGGTGTAGTTGTCACAGTACATGATGGTTATTTTGTGTGAAGAGGTAAGAATGGTGATTGTGAGTTGTACTGTAATTGGCAGATTTACGACACCTTCGACCACCTTCCCGCTGATCGGCGAACTTGGCGTCAAGGTGACGCGACACGAGTTGAAGCCATGGACGGAGTGAGTTACGCAGGCCACTTTGGGAGTCGCATGTGGACGATGAATGGAGCAACTGTGCTGGGAAGAACAGGAGCAGCGTCCTCGAGGCCTTCTCCTGTCGTCGAGAGGAGAATGGTCCCATTTGAATAAGTGCTGTGGACAAAAGTAAGAATACGAGTTTTCGTAACCAGAACTATGCGTCATCAACGCAAGAAGG